CTGTTGTTAGTATACTATGTGTTGGGGGTAGGGAGAATAATTCTTTTCTTAATAAATCTTATGCCATTCCAACTTCTGTTAACTATGCTGGAATTAGTAATCAGAATGAATTTGCATGTATAGATTCCTTCCCAGCATTCTCATCTCCTGCCCTTCCTATTTCTTCCTAGTCCCAGCTGTGATATGTGCTTCAACCCCCTTTTTCTTACTGGTACTGCTTACTTATGGCCAGGGTTGAGTGGGGGAGTCAGGGTGGCTGAGTTTCCACACATACCATCTCTAACTGCTCGCCTTGGGTGGAGTAGTGTTCTAAATAAACTTTAGTTTTGCCACAGCACCATTACTCAACCAAGTATTTACAGAAGTGTCGCTTAATAATACAAAAATACACAAGGCCCTTAAAGTTATTACTGAATAAATAGGGTTGAGCTGCCTACTTTTCTTCCTCTCAGACCAACCTTACTACTCTTGTTCTTAGAAAACTCTTACAGGGGAACTTTGAAGAAAGTCAGAGTGCACGGGAATACAGAGCCAGCTATAAGTTGCCTAACCCCTTGAAAGGATTAGTCCTTTTGTTAATTTTCAAAGGAAGGTATGACTTCTTTCAACACTTCTCAGTCGTAGCTATTCATAGTATAGCCATGCATTAACTGTTTCCATAAATATCACACACATAGATGCTCAGTACTTAGCCACAGATGGAAACTGAAACTATTCAAACATACAAAGAAGTGACAACTCTCCAGAACTCCCCCTTCAGTCTCCTGGATCTTCTAGGAACCTCATGGGACTCTTTAAGCACCTTCAAATCTATGATGTTTTTATTACAAGTTTTATCACAAGTTAGACCATGAATACTATCTTCCTAATTCAGATGGGAAACAGACCTACAATCTTGGCTGAGGTCACAGTTAGCACATGGGAGAATGCGCGTGGCATAGAAACCAGGTCTCCCTGATCTAAACCAGTGCCTTTCCTTCTCTTAAACTGTCTATGTAGCAAGATGCAGGGAAGTGATCCTTAAGGGGTACAGGGACATGTGTTTCCCCCTTGGACTCTGATGACCTATAAGTTAATAACACATGGATAAGAGGACATGTACACAGAAAGAAATAAGCACAGCACAGAGCAGCAGTCATCACTGTCATGGTGGTCTATTGGAGTTAACAGGACCAAGGCTTCTGTTAAAAACCAAGTTCTTACTAGAGTCCAGTGGCCACACACTGCAACGTCCAAGATCCAGTGGAATCTCTCGCCATGTCTATCACCAGCCATATCGACTGTAATATATTCATCTAACTCAGTACCCCACAAATTTTGGAGGGTCTAAATGTTTCAAAAATTATAAACGCAGATTCTAGAAAGAGTCAAATGGATTAGTTCTCACCTTGGAGAAGCAGTTAAAAATGGACTTAACCTTCAGGTGTGTTTTAGCGCCATAGATATTGGTGTTTAAGGGTAGTTCATCACAGAATGATTGCACAGAAATGTTATAGACTTAAGAGAGACAGGATAATGGAAGGAAATAGCAAATGTTTAGCACCTGCATCTACCAGGGACATCAAGTATTATCATACACACACACACACACACACCAATACCAAAAACCAAACAAATAAAACAAACACCTCTTGCAATACAGAAACTGAGAAGAGAGAAGAGGGAAGTAAAGTCAAGGCCAAGGTCAAAGGTCAAAGGTCAAAGGTCAAAGTCCTTTATCTGGTATTGGTAATAAGGACTGTTTATCTTCCAAGCCTATGCTACCACACCTAGTCCCTGTAATATTGCATTGGGCAAGCCTGTGGAATCTTCTTCCCTCATTAAATGCAAAAAGTTTCTAGAGACAAGTACCTTAAGTAGTGATCTAGACCAGTCCTGAAACAGAAAAATGAGCTGAATTCCTATGAGACTAACTGCCTTAAGCCTTGTAGTTTTAGATTAACATTCAAACCAACACAGATGTAGTCCAAGTTTTTTTTTATTGAGCACACACTTTACTTATTTTAATCAACAGAGATTTGAGGCCTATAGCCTGAAGATTTAGACATTTCTATCCAACATTTTCTCCATCTACTTATATCTGAAATAAGAATTCAGTCCAATCAATTAGAACATAAAAAAACAATGGGGGTCTTCATTATGGCTAGATTTGTGTGGTAGAAATTTTAATGACTTATGCAAATGTTTATAATTTACCAAATGAATCAAAGCTCAGAAAACAAAACCAAGCTATTAAGTCTGTACCTATTTACATATGCATGTATGAAAACCACAGGGCAAGATGTAGACCAGAACTTTAACAGTGGTTGCTTATGGGTACTAGAATATCTGGGGACCTTTGTTCTACATTTTTGTAAACTGAACATGTCCTTGCATATATTGTTAGAATGCCTTGCATACAGCACAAGCACACACAGTGTTTCCTGCAAATGTCTTGAAATGTATAAATAGGATAATAATGTATTATGAATACAATTATAAAGGAAAGTTTATTAAATGGCATGGAGCCCATAGTTGGCAGCAAACGTGAACTCTTCCCACATTGCAAATGAAATTGGCTCCCATGTACTTTCTTATTATGCTAAAACGATCATACAAAACTGTCAGACTTCCTTTAACTTTTGCCTAAATCCCTGTATTCAGAATACACACAGAAAACAGAGGACAACGTACAGTACCTTTTACGAGAATTGAAATAATCATACCTAGCTCAGCAAGTTTGTTTGTTTGTTTGTTTGCTTTTTAAATCAAAAGTAAACCAAGATCTATAAGCCCTTAGCATAGTGTCTAGACCACCGTAAATATTCAGCGGGTGTTAGCTGTTTGGGGAATTGTGCTGTAACTGTTGAAGAATTCAACAGTATGAGAATGCTTCCTGATCCCAGAAGCCATCAGCCACCTTACTCCACATACTTCCTTTAAAATAGCCTCCAATTACTAAAGGCAGAGTCCAAAGGAATCTTTGACACATCATAATTATATAGCTCATTTCATCCTCCAAACTTATTGAGTAACAAAAGCAAGAAATTAAGCCAGGGCATAATTCAGTTTTTCTTCTTCTGACTCAGATTTGTAGGGACAACAACCAAGTTGAGATAAAAGAAAAATGTTAAGGTTAAGACTTTATCAGCAGTTTTGATTTAGAAATAGCCTTTAAAATTACTTTTTAAAACATTATCTAAACTTTTTCCATGAAAATATCATCGTCCATCTGAGGATACAGACTGGTTGAATGTGTTTTAATCATATATGTTTAGTTAAAAAAAAAGAAAGAAAAAGAAAAATATTTAGTCCCACATTTTAACTAAAGACTATGAATTAAGGTAAGTGTGGTTAATATCGATGTCATTTTACAGGATCTAGAATGTCCTAAGAGACAAACCTCTGGACATACGTGTGATGTAATTTCTAGACTGGATTAATTGAGGTAAAAAAAAAATCCATTGTATTTGTATCTCTACTCCATTGCTTGAAGACAAATGCAAAAAATGAGCTAAGAGTTAGTATTTCCCCTTCCTACTTCCTGACAGAGGATGTCATGTGACGAGTTCTTGCCCCCTAATCCTTCTTGGTCATGGTGGACCACTTCCTTAAAATGTGAGCCAAAAGAAACGAATGCTTCCTGCCTTTAGCTGCCTTCCTTTTCCTTTCTCTTCTTTTGAACACTATCTCATTGTGTAGCCCTGGCTGGACTGTAAGGCACTATGTAGACCAGGTTGTGCTTGAACTTACCTGCCTCTGCCTCCCAAGTGGTGAGGATGAAATTGTCTACCACCGTATCTGTCCCCTTAGTGGATTTGGTCATGTGTTTTGTCACAGAAACAATAAAAATAGCTCCTATGATTATCAACACATTTCAAGATTAGGAATAAAAGCCTCACTGCCACTTCCTTAAACTTGGATAATTTCTAACTGTACCCTAAACACTTTATACCCAGAGATAAGGATAGCTCCACCCCTCTTAGCTCATAGGAGCTTCTTTTGGCAGCTGATGGAAGCCATTACAGTGATCCACAACTGGCCAGAAGGCAAAGAATAAATGATCAGGGGTATGCACCCCAATCGTTACATGTACAACACAACCCCTAGACCTAAGGTTCAGGGAAAACGGGGGAAAGAGAAGAAAGACTGTAAGAGCCAGAGGACCAACGATGCCTGCTAGGAGACACTACCTTCTAGATGTGGCAAGGAAGCTGCACCCATGAATTCCCATGGTTGCCTAAATAAGACCGGCATAATGACATTACCAATTGACATGCCAGTGTGGACCTGGGAAATGTCACAAGGCCCCACTCCTAGATGAAGAGATATAGGCAATTACAGTGGCTTCTGAGAGAGGGAGAACCAGTTTTCTTTGTCACCTGATGGGTTATTCAATACCAAGTGATCAGCCCTACTATACACGTGTAAATGTAATCAGCACTAAATAGATTCAGTAAGTTTTACATACGTATAAATATAAGTCACATATATGTTTGTGTATATATACATATGTCTACATATATGTGTAAGTGCATGTAACAACGATAATTAAAGACGACGTTATGGATTTGAGAGAGAGTTGGAATGGGAGAAGGGCGGGTATAAATACAGTATTCCATTCCATACAGTTGATAAAATAGTTCCTCAAAAATGTAGGGTGGTTTTAAACATTTATGTTTATTTTTATTTATGGGTTTCCTCTGATTGTGAGCTGAAGACTTACTTAAAGGGAGGGGAAAAAAACAAAAAACAAAATGAAACAACGAAATGACTTGATAGGGAGTACTTCAGTTATTTGAAAAATAAGAATGTCTCCTGACCAATGGAACCATTTCAAATATGCAATTAGGAGTCAGGCAAGGCAGCACACACTTCAGTCCCAGCACACAGAAGACTGAGGCAGGGGATCATGAGGTTAAGGATCATGAGGGCTACAGAGTGAGGTTCCAGCTCAAGAATTAGAGGCTATACCTTGCCTGGCATCCCTACCCTTTCCTATCTCTTCTTCTCACCCACAGAAACTCTGCATTCCCCTCCAGGACCGATGTTAAGGAATGCTTTTGGAGATGAGATCCACCTTCCTGTGGTTCATGAGCCCTCTCCTTTCTCCTGGAAGAAGTCCTGGGTGATGGATGCCAGACCTTGCCCAGCCTCATCTAGCTCGTAGCTAACAGGTTGATTTTGTGCCCCAGGAGGCAAGATATTGAGGGAGGAAGGAGGAGAAGACTGGAGGTACCTCAGCATCTCAGCACCATTCAGGATGAAGATGGAGAAACAGATGCCAGCAGGTTCCTATATTTCTTGTATGTGCTCAGTATAATTAAAAAAAAAAGACTTTATCTAAATTTCAGATTTTAAATATGCCCCTTTATGTTCCTTTCTATTCCTATCATGTAACTTGACATGTTATTCTAAGCATGATATCATGTAACTTTACATGATATCATGTAAAGCAAGAAATTCTAGATGAAATTCAAAGGGGAAAGAATGAGAACCTATGAAAATTTATTCCCATATACTAGAACTAATTTATATAATTGTGTGGTGCTCGGTGTTTATAATCCGAGTACTATAGAACCCTTGTGGATAATGGGCTCTTGCTCCCTCCCTCTCTCCCGCTCCTCTTGTTCGAGGAAAGCTGTGAGATGCTACATTTGGAAAGCAGACAGTGGCAGCTAACAGGAGGGAGAATACTTAAAAGAGCATGGATTTCCATTTCAGAAGACCTGCCAGAGACAGACTTCTCAGGAAACAGAAAGAACACATTTGGCCCTGTGAGATTAAAGGAGGCTTCAGGAGGACTGGACTTTTGTGGAGAGACTTTCCCAGGCCGCACAAGAGCCCACCTTGATGATGACAGACAGAGCAGATGCTTGCCCTGATTTTCTTTGTTCGTCAGTAAAATCTGATAATTAAACTGGCTTAGCAAAAGACATACTATTCATAATTGGAATGATTCTGCATTTCCTAGGCCTGATGACTTTTTTAGAACCAGAGTAAGTGACTAAATGAAAACTTGAAGATCAAAGAAAAGGACCAGTCGTGCTTCTTGAGGGAAAGGTGTGTCTGACAGAATCTGTTGTCTCTGAGGACAGTAAAATAAAAAAACAGGAATCATATGGTACCTTTCTGATTCTACTCTAAGAAAGCAACGGAAGGCATGATAAAACAATCTCTATAGAAACATAAATGTCAAAATGTGAGCATATTTGCCTTTATCTCAGTCTAAAAATAAATAAATAAAATGTCAAAGAGTCCTGTTTTAAGTTGAACTTCTCTATACAGAGAATGAATATGTACTGAATACTGAAAAATCTGTTCACAGAATATGACTGAGTATTTTCTATGCAATGTGTAGGTGTTAAGCAAATTGCCACAGTTCATTTACTATAAGATACTGACTCACATTTTAGTATCTCTGAAAGATGGATAAAGTCTAAAATGAACAATGTGTTCAATTAACAGCATGGTTTTCTTCATTCCACTTTAACTGATGAGACAATCTGTAACAGTGACTTAGATTTGATAAAGCATCCTTTCAAATAAAGTAAGCAGCTGATGAGCTTTCCCAATGCACTTTAAACCCCAAACCTCTTTTTAGAGTCCTTAGGGCCTTCTAGACATCTTAACACTGGAGGGTTAACTACAGAGCCTCCTGGAAAACACTAAGGAATGAATGCTTCCAAGAAGATCTCCACCCAAGCTCTGTCAGGGGATATTGGGAGACACAATAGGCTGAAGTAACTTGCTGAACCTTTCAGTCTAGCTTTCTGATTCACTCACTAAGCTCCAGAAATCTGGGTCCAGTCAGTCTTGGTCCCTTCACACTGGACTAGGGATTTGTCCCTATGCTGGAATCCATGGATGATATCCTTTTTCCCCAAAAATGTTCAGAATAGTCCCAATGTATCCTAGTTTTGGTTGTAAAGAGGTATCTTACACTTTTGAAAGAACTAGAACCTTTAAGACTCATGTAAAGGAAATGAATTTCGTAAAACGTTTAGTTAACACCCCAACAATATAAGTTCTTCATTGAGTGAGTTAGAGAGCTAAGGGAACAAAGCAGAGTCTTAGTACACTGGTTTATATTTTCAATTTTTATTTATTTATTTGAAGAAGTGAGAAATGAACTCAGAACCTCTTGCATACTCGGCAAGAACTCTACCACTGTGTTACATACCCAACCCCAGTAATATATTGTTTTTCAAATGGTGAACATATATATGCATATATACATATACATTACATATGTATAAAACATTTAGATGCATTGGTGAACTTAGAAAGTTTATAATATCTATTACTTCTGCATGAAAATTATTAGAATTTTTTACTGTCTTTCTAAATTGTCACAATAAACATGCACTTACTATATTATATAATTACATTACATAATTACAAGAAAAAAGAACAGTAGGGTTTTTCTTTTTAAACAATTAAATAATGAGTATTATAAACCACAGCTGACATCTTTAAGGATGCAGTTGCTTCATTCTTTCTTCCTGAGAAGTTACAGGTACCATCCAGTGAAGCCAGAGTCCAATCACACTTAGCCAAATGTAAGACCGCAGGGGTCTACAAGCTGAGGCAGGATGAACTCCACATGTTTCTGTATTGTCACCAGATGTGGACGTATGCAATCTACCTGCTCCAGCCAGGCCACGATTTTGTTTAAGATGCTGGAGCTGAAGACTTTTATTTGAGTGTTGCTTATGCTTACACCTTAGAGCATAAGACCGATTTAGTAAGGCCCTCTTCTTTGTTTCACATGCCTTTGTTCCAGATTTAAAATACTGAAAAGCACTGGGTGAATGTAACTGAAACGCCCTTTTTTTGTTTGGCCAGCAGCATGAGTCTAGAACATTGTGCTTCCCTTACCACATATTGGGTATAAAATTACAGTTCTGCTTTGTATAGTATTCAAACATAAAAGTAGATAGTTTGTATATTATCCAAACATAAAAGTAGATAGTTTGTTTCCTCAAACCATGTTATTAGGAATTGTTGAACTACACCTCCATGCTTCCTCGTCTTAGGTGTATATACTGTCACTAGCTTTGCAGAGAAGGCAGACACCCTTAGGGTCTGAACTAGTATTCAAAGAGATATGCTCATTTTTAGTCCTGGCCAATAATATTACGTTACTGTTTAGAAAGAGATAGTGGGCTATGTCTTATAAATTTAATATACTCTTTCTGTCATCAAACAACAGCTAAATTATTCTATTGATAAACACCAGGGCTCATATCAAACCTGGCTTATATCTAGATCACTCCATTTTTTTTTCCCTCCAGTGAAGAGCCTGGAAAAGCATGCCAATCTCTGCATTTCAGGGACATTAACAACCAATATGCAGTTAGTTGCTCTTCACAAATTGTTCAGAAAACATCTCAGTGAGGGAACCAAAAGGACTCAAGGGGGAATTTATTGGCTATTTGTGAAAGTGATAACAAAACCTCTCTAAGCCTCCCTGGGAAGTAAAGCTAATCCCACCCTTCCATCACGGTATCAACAGTTAAATAGGATGGTGCAGTTAGGAACAGTTTGTAAGCCCATGGTGGTGTTATCATTATTGTTCAAACATCAACACTGAGCACAGTAAAGCAGGCCTCATTAAATCCAGCGCTTTAGATGTGGAAGAGGCGGTTGCAAAGGAAACAGAGTGCATACCATGGACACACCGGCGTTCCAAAACCACTCTGCTTGTGGTGGTACTACTCCTGGTCTTTGAGGTAAAGGGCTTGTTCTGCCTCACAGCAAAGAACTCCTCCTGCTCCTCCTGCCTTTTAGCAGAGGCATCAGATAAAGCTGATGACTGCCTGTTGGGCCTCCGGAAACAGGATTAGTAAGAGAAAAGATGCTAGCAATCTTCTGAGGGCATCCAGGGAGGCTTTTTTTTTTTTTCAACCAGACATTTCTGTGGGTAGCAAACTGATTTAAACAACTACCGAGAGTTATTAATGTGCCAAAACTAACGAGAGTTATCAATATGTCAGCAAAACAAAGGCTGGCCTGACAAAACACACATCAAGCGCTCCTGTCTCAAACACACACCGAACTCCCATGGGCTCAGCAAGTAAGGGAGTGGAAGGCAACTGCCCTGAGCAATGATACTCTGCGGGGCTCCTTCTACTACATCGGTCAACAGAGACAGCAAAGGGATTTTCATGAGCGGTTTGAGTGAAAAAGAAATGAGGCCAAATATTGAGAAACTGATGGACATTCACTGAAAAGCAACAAACATAATTTATAAGGCCGAGGGGACTACCTTCCAGAGGCGGATGAAAGAAGACAGTCTCTCAGCATGACCGCCAGGGGCTAACCATCTGGGACTGGCTCATTGGCCACAGCCAAGAGTACTTGAGGGGCATAAACAGCAAGGATGGAGAGAAGTTATTCAGTGTGGTCCAAGGGGACAGGAGGAGGAGTGAGAGAAATGAAAGTCAAAATGCAGATGATTAAGGTGGCAGAGCAGGTCACACGTCTTAATGGAGGGGTCTATTATTGACTGTGCAGCGCTGTCCCCTGGGGAGAGCCAGAGTCCCTTTCTCTTGCACTATTTGCAATTGGAAAATGCACTAAAAAGTAGCCAGGCCTACCTCGGAGGGCAAAACCACCATGTGCCCTCAGAGAATCACTGAGATGGCTTAATAGGCCTTTCCTATCTCAAATTACTGTGATGTAGCTGGTGTGTACAGGGACCTGAGTTGCCGGAATCATTTTTCCACCACCCGAGAGCTTCTTCTTTGTTATTGTAACGAGCCGGTGAAGAAATCATCACAGGTAATGGAAACAAAACCTGTGCTACAGAGAGAGGCCTACAGAGTCCTGATGCTTCCATGCAACAATGGGAATTGACTAGGATCAGTTTCATGTCCTGACGTGAGCCCAAAGAAACATGTCTACCAACTGAGACCAGGGACAGCATGTTCATACTGACCCAGATTTAAGACAAAGGGCAAGAGGCTTTATCACATTTGGATTTTGGCTCCAAAAGTTAAAAAAAAATAAAATCAAATAGATGGCTCTCTAATCTAGAATAAAGACTTATGGTCTGTCTTTTCAAAATTGCTTGGCCTTGAAAAACAGTGAAGAAGCAATTACTGTGTAGAAACTCGGGCACTAATGTGTTGAATGTGTGCATCTGACAGCTCTGTTTATACCCGCAGCTGTAAAGAGCAACTGACACATCCTAAAAGCTGTGGTGGCCCAGAAGGGCATAAGTGGGCACAGGGTTGAATCCACCTGGGATGATAGCTGCAACGGAAAGGAATGAGTACAGTGTGGTCAGATGGAACCTGGACCGGGAAGGCACCCACTGGTGTCATTGTGATGGCTACAAGGTGCACAGCTGTGACCATCACGGCCTCTCTCACCCAGAGAATGATGGAAGCAGGGTGGCGAACAAAAAAAGAAAAGGAAAGGAAAAAAGAAAAAAAGCAAGAGGCTAACAGGAGGGAGGGGCAGTGAGAGACGAAGCAAGAGAAGTTAGAGCGGGGGGGGGGGGGCAAGCCCACAGATGTCAGCACTTCACAGGTGTTGGGTATCTCACTTCCTGATAAAATCATGGTACTGTGGTAGGTACTAAGTGAAACTTGGTGTTCTAGAAGACTGAAGCTTCTACAAACAAATTGAGGGGTTGACCTACAGAAGACAGATATAGGTCAACCCTCATCCTGCTGCTCGAAGCAGCTGTGGCCCAGGCGAGACACCGCTGCCTGGCACACTGAGTTAAGCTGCTGCTGAAATCAACAGAAGCCATTTCCTGCCTCTTTGCCGGCTCCACTAGTCAGGTTAGGTCCAGTTTAGGTACAAGCTGAGCTGCTGGCTCGATAGAGTTCCTGGAACACTGTTGCGTGGCTTCTGCTGCTGCTGGCATGCCTGTTCCAATCTCATTCACCTGAAAGATCTGTTCCTGTCTATAAAAGGAGGCTTAAGATGCAGCAGTCCCTCATCACCCCACATGCTAGCACGAATTTGTAGAACCAGGGAGACTTCCATCTATTTTTACTTCAGAATAATGGTAGGGGAAAAGGGGGAGTCTACTCAAAGACTTATTTCCAGAGAGCACATAGCAAAAATTGTTAGGTGGCTGATTCGAGATTACCCAGAAAGCCCATGGTTAAGACAGGAGAATTGAGTGAGTAGGTCTGGGAATCAGGAAATTATGAAATCAGATCCAAAGACAGAACGTCACTGGCCCACACTAGGTTAATTAGCAGTTGGGGATCGCAGCTCAGCAGCAGCGCGTG